GGATGTGTGGTGGATTCACCCTGGATGGCTTCCAGACCTCTACCCAGCTATCTGCTTTCTTACTGCCTCTTGTCAGCAGGACAGGGAGTGAAAATTAGATGAAATATCTCATTGGTTGAGATAAAGACAGTGAAATCACTTGCTAGAGAGAATTATGGGAAAAATAAACTCAACTTGGAGAAAATGGATCTAATTTATTGCAAATTAAACCTAGAGTAGGATAGTGAGGAACAAAGCAAAAGCTAAAATATATTACACTTGACCTGACCTACCTAAAGTTCAGAAATAATGCCTATAAAATCTCCTGTACAAGGTCATCAGTATATAGCAGTAACCCGTCACACAAGCTATATTATTATACAATTATTTTCCTGAAAAACAGTTTCAGAAGATGTTCACCTGAAAGCCATGCATGTCTTTTACTAAGAGAGAAAAGGACTTAGGTAATGATTTCATGCAATATCTAAAGATATTGTCTGATTATATTTGATCTATCTGTATATTACTCCCTCTTATCTTGAGATGCAAAAATAAAGATCATGTTCTGTCACAAAAATCTGCAAAAGTAGTCCATTACTAAAAATAACCCATACCTTTTGATGCATGGGCTTCCTATGTTGTGTTAATAAAATTAGAATATTGTACAGGGAAATGACAAAAACTAAACCCAAAGAAAAAAAACAAATTGACCAAACAAAAGCAACAAGCAAACCTCCCCCACCAAAAAAACCCCAAAATCAAAAACTTCAACATCAACCCAAATTTCTTACAAGGAAATTATTTTATCTAGTTATCTGCTTTTAAAATTTGACTCTAGTTATTTCAGGTTTCCAGCAAAGCTGAGATACATTTATGTGAATTAATGATCTGTATGATTAAATGACCTCATTTCATCCTATTTAGTGACAATATCTTATCAACAGCAGGATGGACTACTGGAAGAATTTCTAAGGTCTCAGCTGTATTAGAGAGAATTTTAATGGATTATTTTTAAAGCTGCTGAAAGGGGATTTGTCATATAAAAATAACAGTTTGAGTATTAAAATTGACCACATATGAAGAAATTGAACTACTTGAAAGTAATTAATAAAGCATAAGATATGTTTTCATAAAATGAGCTCATACTGTTAAATGCAATGTTTTAGAGTTGTTAAATATATTAAGTTCTGATTTATTGACAAAAAAAACCAATCGTGCTTCTCAAGGATGAATGAACTCTATGTGTAAGTTTGAAAACATAATAAAAATTGCAAATTTTGGGTCATTTAAATGGACTGTGTAGGCTACAGAAGCATTTGGGGTAGATCTGGGTAACTCTCTAGAAGAAAAACTCGGAAAGTTAATATACACATAAAAATGTTTGATTGATTATTGCCTTAATATAGCACAGGTCAATTTGCATATCTGCATGCTTTTTCCACTTTAAACTCCTTACATAAAATAAAACTGGAGGACTACAAGTTTCAATCAAAAGCAGTTTTATCAGATTATGAATATTCTCTGACAATTTAATTTCCTTAACTCCCCTCAATGGCAATATGTTAGTTGCTGTGCATTTCTTAATCACTCTATAAAGGCGCAGGATCTGAAAGATCCTACTTATTATCAGAAGCAGCCTAAGTATTACCATAACTTTCTTGTTGAGTTAATGAACCTTGTTTATTAATCAGGCTAATCTGCTTACTTTCTTCAGATACAACCAATTATCTACAGGACACAGTATGGTGAAGACTTCAGCCTTACATTTTTCATGTATCATGTGTATGATGTGAGAACATCATCTGTGTTCTCACTGAGCCAGGTATGCATACCGTGGGCAACCAGATAAGCTTTTGGAAAAATATGTATCTTTATAATAAAAAGTGCTAGTCTTACATTCACTTTGCATGGACATTCTATAGATAAAAGATAAAAAAATCTCTATTTCCTTTCAAAACATATATGCTTACTCTGTGTTTACTATTACACAGTATCTCTTCATTATGAAGCCGTGTCAAGATCATTAAACTGTCTTCAACCATTGCTAATGCAAAGCCCCACATCTGTCTTAGCTTAGCATGAATGTTTATGAAAGAAAAACTAAAAAGAAATTAATCCTTTCCTTCTAAATTGTACTTTAAGATGACTTATGCTTTTTTTATATTCAAATAAATAGCAATATTGTTATGCCATAATCTGAAAAAAAAATTCAATAAATTTTAATGTATACAACTCCTAACTGTGATTACCCTTTTAATGTATGTAACTTTTAATTGTGGTTACCCTTTTAATGTATGTAACTTCTAACTGTGGTTACCCCTGAATTTTTAAAAAAAGGTAAAAAACAGTGTGGCTCACTTTCAACATGGCAGAAATGTTGACATATTTCTTGCCCAACTAATTTATTTTAAGATGTATCTAGTAAAACAGAGTTACTATTACTCATAAAATAATAATCGAAAAAAAATTAGAAACAGAACCTCCACTGAAGAGAGAGGAAAGATTTTTATGTTCATTGTTTGTAACATATTTGATATTGAAAGGTCAAATTTAAGAAGATATCATTATACATTTAAAAAATGGTGCAGATACTGTTTTAGACAACAGAGGCACAGCAGAAAAGTGCAAAGACAGCAGACACATACCTAATGACTAAAAATGTTATTGGTCTAGCCAGACAGTTATAGATACAAGTTTTTTCATTTAAAAGAACTTAATCATTAGGGAGTATCCTAATTCTTTCGGTTCCCTTGTCTATTGCTATTGAATACATGTGATGTATTAAATATTTTTATTCTTTTTTAACTCACTATTATTTCGTTGCTAAAAAGCCAACAACTACAGTTCCTCTGAGAAGCAAAACTTATTTTTTCCAGAAATCCAGTAGCACACTGGCTGTCAACAAGAGTATGGGGGAAAAATTGTCTTTTTTCACTTAAAGATTAACTCAAGTCATCTGTATTATCTTTTGAAGTGACCCTCTTGTTAGAACTGAGCTAGCAGGAAAAGTACCCAGTAACATAGCTTCTTGTGATTTCAGGCAATTTACAGACATTATTTAATCACAACAATGTATTTGAAATGGTTACATTTGTTTATCTGCACTTTCACCTAGAGAATATGAACATGGATATTAATTAATTTGGCCAAGGGCACAAATACAATATGTATCACATTTAGATTAAAATTCTCTTTTTAGCTCATTGTTAAGTATTCACATCTGCACACAATTTTTCCCTTCTCCAATTGTTTGCTATCATATTAATAATGTAGCTGCAAATTACAGCAAGTCTTAACTCTTCTCAGAAATAACTGATCATTTCTACAGATGACCCCTGGTTCACTATGAGGTTTTTTTGATCATTTGACTGATGATGATGAACGACCACTGCTATAGACAGCATTTTTTAGAGTCATTAGAATGAAACTCATTTTCCAGATCTCACACACATTGGGAATTATTACAAAAATTAATTGGGTAAGGAAACCTTTACAAAGTGACTGGCTTTTCTTTAAAGAAAGAGACATGGACAATTACTAATACAATGCCACAACAATTTTGTTTCCTGTCACCGACATGCATTCTGCTGTATGAAAGAGTTCTCCTTTTAGATCTGTGCAAAGAAAGAGGTGCAGCATGCTTCTATGTAAAATTCCCGTGGATAAAAGCTTTGGTGAACACCAACAAGAGTCAAAAACATGATAGCAAAGTGATGCATTGAATGTGATAATCTTCATCTCAGAAGAACAAAGGAAATAATGTTTGTGTTAATGTTTTGCTACAGCCTTTATTCAGTGAAACACCTGGCAGGCTTACATTTCTCTCAGTGAAGCAACAAACTTGAAAGCATCACTTTATCTTTGAAGATATAAGTCAGTATTGTCTTCAATTCCCAACTCAGCAGATACTGACCTCAAGGCATTTCAGGATGTTACGTTATTAAATACATTAAAGTTGTCTTTTAAAAAGTTGCTCAGTTTGAGAGGGTTCACTGGAGACCTGTGTTTCAGTACTCTGACATTTCCAGGCTTTACTGATCACCATAAGTTTATCTTCAAAACACCACAGTATCATACGTACTTCTTAGTCCATAACCGTATAAAATTTGTTTTCTTGACCTTATTTTCCATAGTAACAATGAGCTTAAAAACTCAAATGTAAATAAAAAACAAACCTTCTTTAATTCATCAGTAATTTATCATCCATATTTATGAATGAACTTACAAGTTGCAAAATCAGTACCCCAGGCTCCTTTGGTCAAATCTATTATTTCTAAGGTCAGGAGTTTCTCACCCACCCTTTTCTACGTTTTCTTAGTCAATACAAAATAACATGTAAAATCTCAAATTAAACAACATATATATAAAATTAGTAAAGGAAAAACTTTCAGCATCATATATGTTTCTCCCTAATTTTGATTGGTCTTTTTGTGTTGCTCTTAGTGCATTTGCTACCTGGCCTGATGCATCTTGGATGTCCCTTATATCCTCTAGCATATCTTCCAGCCTTATACAATACCTTGGGTACTTCAGGGCATTTAGGATACCACAAAGATCAGGCAACCAGATTGAGGTCATGCAAACTTTAGAGCAATGTTCAGTTCCTTTGGGAATTAGCAATTTGGCCAGTGGAATGAGATTTGAAAGATTAAGGTTTTTATGTTTGCTAAATTTCAACATTTTGCTGCCTAAACCCTAAGTTTTATGAAAGAAAGTATTGCTGTAAGGTGTCTATACATATATACATTAAATAATTTAAAATCTTCAGTTCTGTCATATTTCTTTCCCAATATGTTCCAGTACTGCAAGCACTTTTTTTATCTAAGTAATCTATAGTTTATAAGATTTTCTTATGACAAATTAGAAAAAAAATTATTTTTATTAGTCTAAAAAACTAGCTCTGTACATTTCAAAATGGAAGCAGAATGTTTGCATTATACAAGATTTTATAGCACTTGAGTAGCAAGTACTGCGTCATATTGTGCCAACACAGAAATAATATAAAAAGTATAAATGCTTACCAAAGGGGCAATTGCATTTGAAGCCACTTTTGTCTTCTTCACAGGTTCCTCCATTCCAACAGGGTCTGTCTTGGCACTCATTGATGCGAACAGAACATGTTTCTCCTGAAAATTTGAATTAAAAATAAAAAAAGGACAAATGTGCTCACGTGTTGAAATCATAGAAGTGCATTTGCAATGCAAAAAGTCTATGGGATTGTCACAGTCTACATGGTGACCCCACTGGCCATGGTACACCATGTACACAGGACTACTGATAGACTCACTGCGTGTCATGAAATTTTCTGCTTCATTGGTTACAGGGCAGTCCATTTTGACAGGCAAAGTTGGAAGCATTACAGTCAGGAAAATAGAAAGCTTTCTTACTGAGGTTATACATAATCCTGACGCTTTTTTCCCCCCAGTATACAAATCTACAGCATTCAAGCAATTTTTGTCCAGTCTTGTCAATAATTTTTTTTCATTTTGCTTTCTGACACCTTTGAAACAGAATTGTGAAGTATCATTGACTATGCAAGTCAGGCCAACACTAATTTACAGACATCTATGTGTCATAGAAGAGTTCAGCCTATGTTCTACAGCAAGTGGTCAGTACTGTAATATTGGACAAAGGAGGAGTAAGATCAAATCACTAAAGAACATTTAATGAGGCAAAATGCAGGTAAAAGGAGATTAAATAACTATGCACAAATCTAGGAAATATAGTGAAATGTAGGTTTGTAATCTACAAGAGGGATTGCTTTGATGTGTAACAGGAAAAGCTATTTCCGGTGTGTTGGGTTTGTGTGGCCAGATTTTGGTAGAAGGAGGAGCACAAGGGTGGCCTCTGTGAGAAGGTGCCAGAAGCTTCCTCCATGTCCAAGAAAGCCAATACCAAAAATGTCCAAGATGGACATGCTGCTGGCTAAGGCTGGCTGGGCCAATCAGAGATGGTGGCAACACCTCCATGATAAGATATTTAATAAGAAGGAAAAAAAGTTCTTGCACAGGTGAAACTGCAGCCAGAGAACAGCTGAAAGAGAATGTGTGAGGGGGACAGCTCTACAGACACCAGGGTCAGCGCAGGAGGGGCATGAGGTGCTCTGGGCATGAGAGCTGAGATTCCCCTGCAGCCTGTGGGGCAGCCCATGGTGAGGCAGCTGTGCCCCTGCAGCCCATGGAGGAGATCCCTGCCAGAGCAGGTGGTGCCTGAAAGGAATCTGTGAACTTGTGGGAGGTCCATGCTGGAACAGGCTCCTGGGAGGGACCTGCAGACCTGTGGACAGAGGAGGAGCAGGGCTCCTGGTATGACTTGTCGCCATGTGGGGGACATGCTGGAGCAGCCTGTCCTTGAAGGACTGCACACCAGGGAAGAATGACCCATGCTGAAGTAGTTCGTGAAACCTATTTCCCATGCAATGGACTCATGTTGGAAAAAATCATGGAGAACTATTTCCTGTTGGAAGGATCCCATGATGGAGCAGGAAAAGGACTCCTCTTCCTGAACAGCGCGAGAAACCACAGATGATGAACTGAACATAACCCCCATTCCCTGTCTCTCTGAGCTGTTGGCAGGGAGTGGGTAGAGCTGGAAAGGAGGGAGGGGTGGGGGAAGGTGTTTTTAAAGGTTTTATTTTACTTCTTATTATCCTGTTCTGATTTTATAAATTCAATTAATTGCTCTAATTCTAGTCTGCTTTGCCTGTGATGGTATTTGATGAGTGATGTCTCCTTGTCTCAATCCACAAACCCATTGTTATATCTTCTCTCCCCTGTCCAGTTGCAGAGGGGAGTGATGGAGAGGATTTGGTGGGTGCCTGGTGTCCAGCCAGGGTTTATCCACTATATCCAGCCATAGAAATATGGGGGTGAATAATGTTCAGTGATTATAACAAGTCAGCAGTATGGAAGCATTATGGGCTTTCTGTGTATTTTACAGCAGAAGATAAAAATAAACCAAATGCTGATATTCCTCTGAATTCTTTCCATGGTGAAAATAATTTTGTCTCTTCTCTGCAGCCCACCTGCATGCCCTCTCATAGAATTATATGAACCAGGACTCTTGGCTCTCAAAATCTCTATCTACTAAATATAAATGGTCTTTTTCGGAGAAATGAAGCACCAAAATTCTCTTCCACACATAAACTTGTGATAGAAGGGCTCCTACTGGTTTTTTTTTCTGCCTCTATACATGCTCTGCATTTTCCGTAAGATTTGAAGATATATGTATGAAAAGGGGGAGAAAAAGCAAAGTCCAGGGAGAGTTAAGGTAACTCAGTAAACTAAAAACCTTTCTGTTCGGAGCAGCTGCTGAATGCTCTCTAACATATGCCATGGCACCAGTGAGCATTACAGCAAGGACTGGCCAACATATAAATTAATTTCTAAGTTCTTTAATTTTTTAAAGAATTTTCTTTGAAGTGCTGATAAGGTAATGGCACTATATGCAACCTTGCTGATCTAATTCTGGTATTTTGCATTCCCTTTTCTTTTCAGTTCAGGTTCCTGATTATGGTGGGATTATTATTTATCTCTTTTGAGGGAGATAAATAAAAATGCATTGGCATCTGTTCCGTCCTCCAGATAGGCAGGTGGAGAGAAGCACAAATAGCACAAACAGAATTTCCTGCAGAAGTAAATTGTCTGGCCACAAGCCATGGACAAGCTGAAGCATGTACTAGAAAAAACACCTTGAAACAGATTCTTTCACCTCCCTTGAATTGTTAAAGGTTAAAGCAAATGCAGTTTCAAGGGAAATAATAAAATGAGAGCATCATGATATACTCATGACGTCTAAGATAACATGCAAGGGGGAATTTAGGAATTCATCTTCTCAGAGTAAAAAGGTAATGTGGGCAGTATTTAAACATATTTCAGAAAGAATCAAAGAATCTGTGAAGCTACTGTGAGGCCATATTTTCTGAGTATTTGAGACAAGAAAAAAGCTGGACAGATACAGAGAAAACTTTTTTGTTTTCAGTATGCAGCTCCTCTGAACTACGCATTTGAAATGTATGATGAGAACCTTCTTTGAAAGTCAGATAAAAATTGTTAATTGGCTACAAATTACTTTCAGCATCAAAGTATGTTAATATAAATTTTTTTTTAGTTTCTGCTTTTAAGGTTAAAATTAATACAACATATTTCAAACATAATTACTAGTAAAACATAATATTTAATTAGCTATTTAATAAATCATAGCTTTAGGTCTGAGATCCTATACATTTTAAAGGCATCATATCACCAATCTGAAGTACAAAGAGAATGTTAAAAATTACCGTGAGCCAACTATATTTCTATTAATGTTATAGAATATTTTATGCTGTTTAAAATTACAGTGTTCTCAAATATATAACAGATAATTACAGGAAAATCTGTCACTTTCAAATTGCATTGCCTGATCTTTAAGAGCAACAGTTTCTACTGGCATATCAATGGTACATAAGACATTATTCTGCAGGAGCACAAAGATGTTGGGAAGAACATAAGGAACTGAGATGGTGAATACTAAAAAATTAGCAAAGATATTTCATCATGCTCAGTGCTACTTCTATCACTTACTCTCTTTAAAACAATCATGTTATTTTAGCAAATGGAGGGACTCTGAAGTTCTCAGGTAAATATAACTAAAGACAAAAGACAACAAAAAAATTAAGTTTCATAAGTCTAATGGATGAACTCTCATCGAATCTTCCTTATATTCAGAAGTGCAATTCCGTTAGATCACTAGATTAAAAGTTTGAACTTTTCAAAATTTGGATGTCTTTTTTCTGCTTAACTTAAAGAAATGAACTTTGCACTTCATCTGAACTTATCAAACTATTGTTAGAGTTTATAGAATATCCACAAAATGGTGGGGTTTTTTGATATCAAAATAGGTTCAATTTCAAACTGTTATCAAATATAATATTCAGAGATTAGAATAAATATCTGAAATTCATTCAGAAATTAGAATAGAACTGAAATCATTTGAGAGATTATCTTCTTAAAATAATACACATTATATTTAAAGTATCTCTTATTGAGTACCACCCCCACTATAACATTTCTGTCTGAATCTCAAAACACATGCAAAAAGGTCAAAATACAAAGTTTCTTTTAAATACTGCTTATACTAACTTTTGTTTTATAGGCAAAATTAAATATAAAGTTTGACAATGTAAAGGCACACAGAATGACCACAGTGAAGGAAAGGATGTGTAAGAATATATTATATATGTGTAAGAATATTTTTTTAAGTAAAACTCCTTACTTGAGATATTAAAGACACAAAATTAATCTTTCTATTCCGAAATCAGATGAAAAGCAAATGATTTAACATTCTCCTTAATGTAATCTTAATGAAGTACTATTAAAAAAAAAAAAAAAAAGCAAAACACGAGAGCTTTATAAAATTCAAGAAGTAGCCAAAATACTAATAGTGCATTTGAGGACTGTTTTCACAACACCCCTGCCTTACTGTCCACCATTTTACAAAATGTGTATAATTGCAAAGCATTTCAGTCATGCACCTGATAATGAATTGTGAAATTTTATTGCTTGATAAACAATATAAGCTATTCTGTTAGATAAGAGATGCATCAAGCTGAGTAATGCTTCTGCTGACTTTGCAGTAAATGCAGTTATGAAAAAGACAGACAGACGGTCCAGGCGAGGCTTTACTGAACTTGTCAGACATTTCTTTTTCTCAACTTTGTTGTTCTACACATTTGCTAATTTTTAAATTTAATTTGGGTAAAATATTTTAGTAGTTAAAATATTGTAGTAGTTAAAAATCCAAAGCAAATCTAATTTTTATTTACCTCATACAGAGTAATCCTTTCTGTGAATGCCTATTACAGACTGAAAATTTATATGATGTATCAAACACCTCCATCGTCTTAGCTTCCATGAAAGAGTTTTAACTTAGAAGAAAGTCTGTCACTCTTCAAATATAAACTGCCCAGAGCCCAGCTCATCTATGTCCATGGGATTACACTGTACATTTGACAGTCTGCTCTGGCACAATGTACCAGCAATGAATCTTCCATAGAAGAAAAAGCCAGCCAGAGCCCCTGAAAAGGTTGTACTACCCAATGCCCTGAGCTGGAAACCCAGCCCAGCCTTGAATGTGGTGGAAGTGTGGGAGCAGACATGAGCTGTGCTTCTGGGATGGTCTAGTCCTATCAAGATAGGATCTGTATGAATGGAAATGGAAACGTGTTTCAAATGCAGAGCAGATGTGAGAAAAAAATGAACCCGATTGCCTTTCTTTGTCAGTAAAACTAATGATTTCATGCTTTCCAGATGACCCTGCTTCAGGCAATTCCTATAAAGCAGCTGTCAGAGCCCCGAGAGCTCTAACATACCCAAAATGTCTGCAGCAGACCCACCGAGGTGCTTCCTACAGACCCTCCCCATTGTCAATGAGTTCACCTGTGGGTACTTTGATCTGCCCGAAACTATTCTGTAGATGTTTTAATTTCCAATCCTGCTTTCCTCCCTGTCTCAAGAGTGATCTTGAAAAGGGTTTTTTATTTTTTTATTTTTGGATGGATTCCTTGTATGTATATTACAGATTTGTCTCTGGTTCTGTCTCCTACTGCTTCTAACTTGCTTTCCTAGCTTTATCCTGGATTTGATGCATTGCTTGCACTGTCTGGGGCTTGTCAGGGACCCTGTTACCAGACATTGGTTCTGACTTCTCTTTGTAGATGCTGCAGAACTGTGCTTTGCTTAGTGACGGCAACATTGCACTGAGGTTAAACTTGGATTCTAGTTTGTGATTCCTCTCATGGAGCAGCCTTGATCTTGCTGCTCCCTGTAAACAGGTTCAATCTTCATAATGTGTTAGGGTGTCCATCACCTGATTTGTATGAGGGATTAAGCCTTAAACTTACTTGTGTCAAAAAGGATTGGCTTTCATATAACTTCAAGTACTTCCCTTCAAGATTTGTTTTACTTGATGGCATGGAGGATATACCATCCACACCTACAGAAGGGGGAAATTATTTTAAAACATCCAACGAATGCAAAACCAATTAATAATGTACAGAAAATACAAGCACTAAATATTTCCTCAGATTGCAGATATCACATGGGCTTCTCCTGTGTATTTGTGGAATAAAAAAGTAAAAACAAAGCCCAGAAATTTAAAGTCATGGAATGATTTCAGAAAGCCCACATGCCATTTTTGTCTTCATGGGCAGAAAGAAGAATGATGAAGAGCATGACATGTAGAATATGAGAACTGAGAACTACTGAAAAGAGCCTGGCTCCATCTTCTGTGCATCTTCCCTTCAGGTATTTATATACATTGATAAGATCCCTCTCTGAGCCTTTCTTCTTCATTCTGAAGAGTTTCAGCTTCCTCAGCCTTTCTTCATACAAGTTTAAAACAACTGGATTGTCCATTGACTCCTGGAAGACACCCCTGGTTACTTCTGGAAAGATTGCCTCCATAACAAAGACTTCCTCTGGGCTTGGCCACTCCTCCAGTTTTCAGTTCACCTCACTCTCTACTCATCCAGCCTATACTTCATCAGCTTTTCCATGAGGATCTTGTGGAAGATCACACAGAAAGCTTTGTTAATGTCAAGGCAGACAATACACACTTCTCACCTCTCATCTCTCTAATTTCATACAGAAATTAGTACAAAAAGAAATCATAGCATCAGGTTGTGTAGGATTTATCTAATACAATGCAGAAATCTACAGCCCACTTCTTCCTAGAAAAGATGGCTAGGACAGACTGATGCCCTGTCTCCCTCCAGTTTATAGAAGGGGAGTCTGAACAACTCAGTCAAATATAGCTGATTATATTCTATACATGCAAAGAGATGGTACTGCTGATCTCATTCCCCCTCAAGCTCACATTTTCCTGTTCTGTACCAAAACATTTGTTCTTTTCAGCCTGTATATGACTGAAGCCATAACATGTAAGACTGCATGATTGTGAAATTAAAACAATGCAATTAAAATTGTATTTTGGAACTTCATTGATTTTTTTCCCAACAGAATCAAAGCTAATACTCAGAATTGTGCATTTAATGGAGGGAAGGTCAGCTGGGGAACTGTTAGGAGGGGCACCATAAGAATTTCAATGCTGATTAAGTTAAAGCTCCAGTCAAACATGCAATCACAAATGTATGCATATTTATTTATAATTGTAATTAAACAGTCACATAAACATTGCTTACATAGAGGGGTACAAACACATCTATAATACAAGGCACTTCAAAAGAACAAAACTTACCTGTGAACCCAGCAGTACAATGACAAGAAAAGCGGCCACTTAAATCCATACAAGTAGCTCCATTTTTGCAAGGTGAACTTGAGCATTCATTAACTTCAACTTCACAGAAGGGTCCTTCATATCCAGGCACACAGTAACAGCTGTAATTATGCAAGTGGTCCTGGCAGAATCCATATTGAGAGCACTGGTTTCCAACGCAGTTGTCTATATCAAGTTCACAAAATGTGCCAGTGTAACCAAGGGGACATATGCACCTGTTATTGAAATGAGAGGAGAGGAGAGGAGGGGGGAAAATCCAACTAAATAGCTATCCTGGAATATATAGGTCAATTATCACTAATAATGTTAACAATATAAATAAAGTACTCTGCCTTTAAATTACCCACAAATGAATCACAATTTTTTTTTTTCAATCTTCTTTCCTTACCTTTAATTAGTCACTAAGTAACTTCATTTCACATGCGCTGGTAGCAATAATTAAATTAAAATCTTAGCTACTTACATTGGAAAAACTAGGAGCAATATTCATATTAAGCTTCAAATGAAAATATTGAAAGATTAAACTCTTATAAATATGAGTATTATGCATTTTAATTGTTGTTTTATGAAAAAAATAATTGTTAGCTGCTACAGTATCTCTAGGAATAAACAATATTACAACCTGTTTGGATATAAAATCAGTACAAAATTGCTTTATTGTTGACAAAAAAGTTACAATTTCTGTCTAATCAAAGAAAAATATCTATAAAATACTATAGATATTTTTCAGCATATTTTATAGAAATTGTTCAGAGTATTTTTTTCCAAAATTTAGACAGACATCTAAACCATGTAAGGCTGGAAATGACTTTTTCATGGTTACCCTATCTACCTTTTTTTTTTCTTTTGCTGTATGAATGAAAGCAAATATGGATTATCTCATAGCTGACCCACATCTCATAAAATTAGAAAATCCCTTGTACTTGGCAATATATTCTTTGATTGATTCTCCCCTTATCATGTCCAGAAGTGTCCTCACACATGAGGTAATTTTTCCATAGTACATATTCTTGACCCACAGAGATGCTATCCAGAAGATGGAAAGAACTAACAAGTTAAACAAGCCTTGATTATAGTAATTTTTTCTACTGATCCATCTGGCAGAAAGAGTATTTTTTCCTTTATTTTTAACACAAGTGAATGCTCATGTAGCTCTTTGCTTCTGTCCTTGTTTACAGTGCCTGCATTTCTTATGGTAGACATATGGAAACTAATCAGGAGCTGTGTGCCTTGGAGTACAGCTAATGGACACCAACTGCTGATGGGCTTTTAGTCCGTGGACCAAAACAGAGCTTGCTTGAAGTAAGCCCTCCATATCTCACTCAGTGTGGTTGTGAGCCCTTCATCACTACCATTTTTGCTCTACAGATCCATTGCTACTGCAGTAATGACTCCAGTATATATAGCTGTTGTATTCTGTCTTCCAGCCTCAGTCACTTAGTACACGAGAAATCTCTACCTTCTCTTCAGAGCTTCTCACACAAGTTGATTCTGTTTCTCATTTTTAAGGGAATGCAGTACACAAAAATATCATACATATTTTACTGTGCTGATTTTAGATAGGGTAGAGTTAGTCTTCACAGTGGCTAGCACTCATATTCTCTTGGACTTAATACACTGTTTTGGATTTATGCTGGAAACAGTTGTTAATATAGAGATGTTTTTGTTATTGCTGAGCAGGGCTGACAGAGAGCCAAGGCCTTTTCTGCTTTTTGCACTGCCAGCCTGGTGAGGGAGTTGGGGCTGTGTGGGAGGCTGGGAGGAGACACATTCTGGACAGGTGACCCAAACTGACCCAAGGGACATTCCAGACCATGGGACATCATGCTCAGTATATCAAGTGCGGGGAAGGAGGAAAAAGTGAGGGACATTTTGACTCATGGCATTATTCTTCTGAAGTAGCTGTTCTGTGTGATGAGGCCCTACTCTCCTAGACATGGCTGAACACCTGCCTGCCCATGGGAAGCAGTGAATTCATTCCTTGTTTTGCTTTGCTTTTGTGCATGGCTTTTGCATTTCCAATTAAACTGTCTTTATCTCAACCCATGAGTTTTCTAACTTTTACCCTTCCAATCCTCTTCTCCATCCTGCTGGTGCAGGAATGAGTGAGTGACTGCATTGGGCTTGGCTGCAGGTGGTGTTAGACAATTACATTTATAACTAAATATAAATTTTGACTTGCATAAAATTTCATTATGCATAAACATTAAAAACAGGTGTGCTTTTAACTACCTTTAGGTGTGCATTTTCTGAATCTATCTACAATAATATGGTAAACAACCAGACATATTAATCTTTCTGCTGCAGTTAATCACTTTATTTTCTTTTTTTTTTACAGTAACAATTAGTGTGTGTGCTGTAAAAATGTAACTATTCAATCATTCTTTGAAAATGTGGCTATTATCATTAGCATTGAATGGAAAATTTAACTTAGAGCTCTCCTTAACAAAAACATGAGGATGAAGAATTTTCTGTTCTTTCCTGACTATTACTAGTTGTATAGCTTATCTTCAGGGACCACAGAAAAACTACACAGAAACAAATGTCATATAGAATCTTCTTGTTTAGGTTTCATGTTTCTGATTCCATACTACAAGCAATGATGTCATGAATTTTTCAGATGTCAATATATTTTTCAGTGCTTTGGTGTCTGAAGAAATCAAAAACAGCAAAGAATAAAAAGCACTTTGTTTTTTCTAGCAAAATTATACCTAGATGTCTTTTAATTTAGTACAGGTCATCTCCTACAACAGTGTAGTTAAGTGCTGTAATAATATTATTATTATTGTTATTGTTATCGTTACTGTTATTATTATTGTTATTATCATTATCATTATTATTATCATTATTATTATTAATATTACATTTTATTATAATTCAATTTCTTTTTATAATCTCCAGCAGTACTAAAATACTGAGCATGGTATTAGAGGTTTTGAGGCATGGCTTGATTTTCAGTCTTGTTTGCTTTGAAGCATGAATGCTTCTCTATGACAAATAAAAGAAAAAAATTGTATACAGATATATACAATACCAGAGTTTACATTTGTAAGTATATTTCTAGATCAGGGAACTTGCATTTTGTCCTTATGAGAGGGATGACCTCGGCAGAGAGGCTCAGTGTCTCCATGGTCTGTCTGGGTGTCGTTCCCTGTGCTGGAGTCAGTGACTCCTCCTTCTCCTGCTCCAGCTCCTGCTCTGGGATGTCTGGTGTGTGTGTGTGTGTGTGTGTGTGTGTGTGTGTGTGTGTGAGAGAGAGAGATCTCCCAGCAGAGACCAGGAAATGCTAATGACACCTCCCCAGCCTCTTTCTTAAGGGGGACTAAAATGTCAGCCTTACAGAATGGGGGAGCATTGAAAGCAGAAGCATGGCACCAGAGAACAGCATATGAAAAAGTATTGTGTTAGTATTAATGGGAACAGCAATACTTTCTTAGCTCCATGTATGTCTTCTTTCATCCACAACAAGATTTGGAGGGTAAGAGGTACTGTCCTAGGGTGACATTATGATATTTGTATCCCCATTCACGTGTTCTGTTTATGCTGGATATTATGTTCTGTGCCTTCAAGACTGGCTCTGAAGAGCGAAATTTTTGTTTGAGTTTCTTATCAGCCGCTCCCCCATGGCTGGCTGGACAGAGAGACGGGGCAGTACAACGTGCTGCTTTTGGGTTTTGCTTTTGCTTTTCGCTTTGCTCTCTCACTGTTTCTTCTGCTTTGCTTCTGCTTGCTCTCACTCTGCTCATTAGCTAGTTTAGCTAAACAGTCCAAATTTCTTCCTGGATTGTTTCTCGTTTCCTTTTTTGGACCAACTTTAACCTGCTCCAGACTGGGACCTGGGAACACTGAGAGTTTGCACCCTGTGGCTGCAGCAGCTGCCCCAGCGCCAGAGGGACTGAGAACAGAGCGACCACCCCCAAGAGAGAGACTTTCTGAATTTGTCATCTCTTTCAGAGTGGTGAAAGAGTGGTGTCATCTGGTATTGTTCATTTTGTGTGCTGGGGGATGCTGCGCCTGTCAAATAAACAGGTTCTTTCCACTTCTCTCCAAGAATTCTTCCTGAACCGGTCACGGGGAGGGGCCGTGTGGGTTTGCTTACTGGAGGGGCCCCCCTTTCGACATTCTCACCCAAATTTGCCCTAAACCAGGACAGATACTAAGAGAGAAAGCAAATACCTCAATGCTTTTGCTACAAACATAGATTTTAGTAGTGAGTAGCAAACACAAGTCATTTGAGGATCACTGTGCTCCCACATATATCATGCAGATGATCGTATGCTACTACTCCAGAGCCTGAATATTGTTAATGTCACAAGATAATTTGATATACTTGTGAAATAAATGTTAAGTGGAGATGCTAAGACAGGCATGGAATTTAGTCTAAGAATGAATGTGTTGCTAAAATGAGAATGGTTATGGCAGAGATGCAATGTGTTTCTACCAACCTTTTATCACTAAAGGTCTCAAACAACAGACGTGTGGGCAAATCAGCTGGTGCTGGTTTGTCCAGGCAGTGAAGCTGTCAAGCTGTCACCACAGGCTGCCTGCACTAAAGATGTAGTGTGACTTGTGTTATTGAGTGAATAATCATGTACATTGAATGAATCTTTAAAATGACTGCAAAAAGCCCAAGACCAGACCGAAGATGTCTGTCTATGGTAACCTGTGCTGGGAGATGACCTTGCTATTTTCTGTATTGATACAAGAGGCACATAGGAGCACTGAAGCCTGGAATTAGCAAAGTTTTCGCAGAATCCCTCTACTTTGTTTTCTTAATATTTATCATTCATATATATATCTATATATAAATATAGATATATATATATTAGTATTTTTCCAAGTTTATCAGCTGCAATTACTCAGTATTAATTATCCCTTTTTGCATTTGAAATGTGAACTGCACACACATAAATGGTTGAAAAAGTTATTTAGTTTCACTTTGACTTTTTATATGCATCTATATTTTCTACAGAATATCTGTTGTATAACTTATTGCAGAGGTATTCCCTAAGAAATTGTGACATATATTCACCCATCTTTTCGAGTTGTAGAAGTGAGGAAAAGTATTTATCCTCTTTCTCTAGTGGAAGAAGCCTATTATTGCTGCAGAAAACTGTGTATATCAGAGTACTAACTTTATATGGCACTGTCAACTAGGTCCTGCAATCAAATTGTATATATAGTATAGTATGAATAAACTTTTAAAAAGAAAATTAGATACAGAAAAAATATTCTAATCAAACAGCTCAGTTTACCCAGCTGGAAGAAAATGGAAAAAGTCAAGGATGAATAAAATAATAGTAGCTTAAAATTTTGTGATACTCAGAAATTATCTAAATTATGTTTACTTTTCACAATCCTGCTGGCATCATGCAAAGAAGTGTTGCATATTCTAAAGCATTTTACTCTACAATGTGTCACTTTACTCTTTTGCACTGAGATTAGTTAATTATTTAATTGTGTGCACTGAAATTTGAATACTGAATACTGAAGAATGTGTTGGCAATTCAAGTTTTGCCATACACCAAACTTAATTTCTTAATGAGACATTTTCCTGCATAAAAACTAATGAAATGCTGATGTCAGAGCTATAGCTATTGACTAAAATACATTTTTTAAATATATTAGTTCATAATGACTTTTTAAACAGTGGTAAATCTAACATTACGGTTTCAACATTCTCAGTCCTTCTTGATGGGGTTTTCTGGGGTTGTGATAAATGTAACACTTCATCTGAACATGCTGGACTGAAGAAATGGGAAGCAGGACAGGTAATGGAAATTACATCGAGTTTTAAATTGGGTGTTTTCACTCTGTTGTTCCTTTCCACTGAATAGACAATAGTAAAGTATCTACTGTTAATGTCTTATTTCAGTTAGGATCTTGGTTGTCCAAAATGGACAAGAAAAAAATTTACAAGGGTGAAAAAGTCAGAGTAACAACTTTCCCCTTGGATTTCAAAACTTTTCTTTCCTCAAAGATCTCTTTCATTTTAATTATTCATTAAATGCTTCTCATTGAGGCATATTAAATCAGTTCTCTCTCTTCTCCTATGCAGAACACAATCAAACGATGCAGGTTCTTTAGAAGAGAAAAACTATTATTATTTTCTTTTTAATCTAGAAACATTTTCTATTTACTGAGGTAATGAGTCTTATCTGTCTTTTTTTTCTCTCATGTATATGTAACCAAAGGTCAAGAGATTCTTTTGGCACGTGGATGCAATTGTTCTATTGCATGGTATCTGCCAGATTCATATTGACAGCTGCACCATCAACCCAGTGGCAAAAGCAGCAATTCTTTGAAGTTTTCATTTTAAACACATGCTGATTGACTTACTTCATGGTATCGCAAACAGCACAGACTCAGCTGGCAGTGCAACAATTAATTTGAATTAATTACAGGTTTTGTGTCACTGTGATTGGGGCCACTTTAGTTGTAAGAAAAGGCTCACTAAACCAAAGGAGTAAAACTATTAAGACTTCTTACTGTAATTATGAGGATCTTGGTTTGCAGCCTTGCTGAGAATTACACTGTATAAAAATCTAAAACTCCCCCTCCTTCATTTAGAGCAATTCCCCAGTCTGAACTCAAAGGAAATACTTTGCATATAGATAAAAATACCTCTAGGTGACACTACAGTCTGGAACAGTTTTTCAAAATGGGAAGAGAAAAAGAATATGTCATGGTAAAGAGACGAAAATCTAGAAACATTTCCTGCAGTTGACAGCTTATTTCCCATCTGGAGAAATAAAAAAAATGATGGCTTGCAAAATGAGATCTTATAGGAGAGGGATGCTCCTGAATCAAAGGTGGGTATTTTCTATGATTTGCTAGTGTGAGCTTTACTATATCAAGCTACCACTAGAAAAATACATTATGACCAAAATTTAATAATTTAAAATTTAAGATTTCTTAACTAGGAGGAAGGTCTAGCGTTTTATAGTAATTCTATGCAAATAAAACCTAATATATATAAAATTTTGGCATATCTTTATCTTCTGCATTCATTAAGAGAGATTTTGAATGGCTGTAATAGTTATAAAAATGAATCTCTGTAGAGTTCTTAATGGCACTTATACATTTGATTCTCCATATATTCTGCTGACAGTTCTCTTATGTCTTCCTGAAACTACTTTGCATCAAATACAGCTCTTGATAAATACTTTGATAAAAAATATACTCATTTTAGGACAGAAATGCAATTACAAATCTTTAGAAAAGGTGTGTGCACTTACATTCAGCATTTTCTCTTGTATTCTTTTGTTTTTAATCATGTATTGGGAAGGAGAAATTGATTTTGTCTCACTTACTAAAAATAACTTGGCAAACATCATTCTTTTTAGGGCAGGCATAATTTAGGTATTTTAAAAAAGGCTTCACAATCATTGAGAAACAACCATGCTCTCTCAACAGAGCAGATACTATAGAGTAAACATGATACACTTTGTCTTGACAAAATAGCCAGTTTTGTTCTTTTGGGGTCAAGTTGTCTGCTAAGAAAACTGACCATCTGAGATTCAGATCTCAATGGTGTATTTTTCTGTTCCTTAGATAAACAGACTGATCTGTCAATATAATTTGTCTTTCAATGACTGAAAAAGGAAGAAATAAGTGCTTTCTGTCACTAAACTGAATCTGGATTAACAAGTAAAATCAAAAGTTCTTTATTACCAGATGTCTTCAGAACTACTAATTTCTCAGTAAATGCTAGTGGATTTTGTAATGTAAACATAGCTTTGTACTTCTATCAGAATTATTTTCCTGATAAAGAAAAGAAAGCCACAGATTTAGCAGTTAAATAAGGTGCAATATATGGTCCAGTAATTTCATACAAGAGTTGACTGCAAAGTTGAAAAAGGAAGGATCTTTACTTTGAAAGGATTCTTTGACAAAAACTCCTTTAACTCTGATATACTGAGAATCAATCATTTTTCACCATTTGTTTGCCTGCTTGGTGATTTCAGTTAATTTTACAAAAGACACTTTGAAAACAGAACTGAAATTGAAGACATCTTTAATTGCTTCTACTTTTATCTTGTGCACAATTGCAATATTTTCTAAGTAGAAGCATTAAAGCATTCTAATTACAGTGCTTCTAAATAGGGCATGGCACAGCATAGAATAATGTCTTTCAAAATACATTTACAGATATTATGGAGAAGTTTTATTTATTTCTGGATTTTGTAGAGGAAAAATAATTCAAGTCAGATAGTTGAATTCTGTTAACTGAAGAAAACTTTTCCCATTTATTTTTTTCACCATATTTTATAAAATCTCATTTTAAATAACTACAGCATGTTACAGTTCACTAAGGAGAACACATAATTTATGTTTCTTTTCATAACTGAAATGATAATTTATTATCATTCAAATTTTTGTAGGACTCTTTGTGATAGAGCCCAGCCTCAAAAAGTGTTTGCCTCTTAAAAACATTAGATTATTTGTTTATGTGAGATTCTGCATAGCTGGTTTAACTTCTTTGACCAGCAAAGAGGAATATTTGTGATTCCTTCCTACAACACGTCAGAATACACAGTTTTACTGAATGCACATCCTTTATGAAAATTTGTATTCCATGGCATTTTTTTACATGAAAATTATATTAGTGCACTAAAAACACCCTTTGTAATTCTTTCTGAAAGTCAAAATATCTTCATACGGCATAAAACAATTTGTGAAGGCTTGCACAGATAGCAACATATTAGTACCTGTATTTATTAATTCCATCTTCACATGTGGCTCCATGTTGGCACTGGTTTATCTCACAGTCATTAATATTTTCAAGGCATGTGTTTCCAGTCCATCCAAGGGCACAGATACAGTGAGATCTCTGATTTTCTTCATCATAGAAGCAACTACCTCCATTTGCACATACCTGAAGATAGGAATTACAAATATGCTGTGTTGGGTTTGCATGGTCAGGTTCTGGTAGTAGAGGGAATGCTATTGAGCTGTTTTCTCTGAAAAGCTGCCAGAAGCTGCTCCCATGCCTGACAGATGCCAGCCAGCTCCAGGATGGACACACTGCTGGCCAAGGCCAAGCCCCTCAGTGACGGTGGTAGAGCCTTGGGGTAACAGATTAAAGAAGAAGGAAAACACTTATTTCACAGAAGTTCAGCCAGAGAAGAGCAGAGAGAGAATACATGACAGAAACAGCTCTGCCGACACCAAGGTCAGAGCAGAAGGAGGGACAGGAGATGCTCCAGGTGCCAGAGCTGAGATTCCCCTGCAGCCCCTGGTGCAGCCCCTGGTGAGGCAGCTGTGCCCCTGCAGCCCATGGAGGCCGTGGGGATGCAGAGATCCACCTGCAGCCTGGGGAGGAGATCCACACCAGAGCAGGTGGGTGCCCAAAAGAAGGTTGTGACCATACGGGAGACACATGGTGGAGCAGCCTGTTCTTGAGGGAGTGCATCCTATGGAAAAGCCCCACACTGTAACAGATCAGGAAGAACTATAGCCCCTGTGAAGGGCTCACACTGGAAAAGTTTGTGGAGGACTGTCTCCCATGGGAAAGAACCTACTATGGAAGGGGAAGGACTCCTCTCCCTGAGGAGGAAACAGTGACAAAACTGACATGTGATAAACAGACCATAACTCCCATTCCTCATATCCCTGCACAGCTGTAGGGAAGAGGAGGTAAAAAATGGGAATAAGAGTAAACCCAGAAAGGACAATGGAAGGGTGGAAGGTGCTTTTTTTTTTACTTCAAATTATCCTGCTCTGATTTTGTTAGTAATAAATTTAGCTATTTTCCATAAGTGAAATCTCTTCTGTGTGTGATAGTAATCATTATGTGATGTGTCCTTGCCCTTATCTCAACTCACAATCAATTTTCTTTCCCCTGTCCAGTTGCAGAGGGCATTGAGTCTTCAATGGGCACCTGGCGTCTAGCCTGGGTCCACCCGCCACGTACATAAATAGTTTTTTCTTTACCTATTGGATTTTTTCCCAAAGAGTTTAATGGAATAAGCCATTGGTAATAAATATGTTTATTTAATCTTTTTATGTTGTGATATTAAAAAGATGCATCTCCAAGAACCTAAAATACTGAATATTATTAAATCGATACATCAATTTATTGTTTAGTCAGCAAAATGCATTTGTGTTTTAATTTAACAATAACATTTTTACAACTGCCATTAAAATGTGCTTGTTTTAGGAGGGGCAATAGTGACTAGACTGTTTTCTTTTCATTGAGAGAGCAGAGCAATTGTTCCTATGTTGTATAATTTAGCTTAATATGTGTCTATCAGGAAAAGACTGATTTTTGATTTTTTCTTTCATTTTAATTATAATGCTGATTCAATCTATCCTTGAATCTTTATATGTTTATAAATTACATCTATGCTGTGGGAAAATCAGAAGCTGCTTTATTTTCAGTTTGCAGATACTGAAAGATTGATAAATTTAGACTGGAACAACTTTTTTCCTTTTTGCTTTTAATCACTAATATTACTTACTAAACCAGTATTTCCTGAATCCTTCAAAAATTGTAGAAAATTATAAGTCTGAATTAATGCTCCTTTCCTCATTTTAATTTTTAGGTTCCATTTTCATTTCCATGAAAATTTTGCCAGTATGAAGACAGATAACTACATATTAATTCCAAAGCAATTAAGACCCCTCCTTCTAATCAATAGGTTTTTAAAGAAAATGGTGTCTAGAATATGACTTAATGCACTAGTACTTCAGTTTGATTGAGTCTGAATCTCTTTAAAATGTCATTAAGATTTGTAATAATAACAGTCCTTGGCAGAAATATTTTAATATTCATTTGTCTTTGATTAAGTTTTAAATTGACCTTAAAATGAAGAGATTTTTGTTATGCTTCCTGTACTGAATTTTAGATTTACCTTGGGATACTTATTCATTATAACAAGATATTGGAGGAAAATGCAATTCAATGTAAATGCATTCAACGTAAACTCCTTCTATGGTATGGGAATTGTTGTTTTTGTATTATTTTTATGTGTTTTCTTACTTTTGTGTTTATGTTTTTGCTGGATTTTATCCTGATGCTTACTATTTACTCAGAGCTCAAATAGGTCAAATAAGCTCATACTCAAGAAAATCATCCAGAAAACCTTAGGTGACTAAGACAAATATTTCAATATTACCACGTTACGTTTAATTTATTCTTATGTAATTTTGATACTTTATACTGTGAAGAAAGGTGTTACCCTTTAAAGTGTTAGTGTAATCTAAAGATTTAAATTAAAATGAAAGCTATGGAAGGTATTTAAATACAAATCTTATGTTTCAACAGATATAAACAGGTTGATTCTTGTCAGTCTGACCATCATACCTCTGTCTACAGCAAGTACTTTAACACAAATCTGCCTTTTTATGTAGTTGTGATAAAACGTAAGAATCACTTTCTTCCAAAATCAGCCAGCAGACTTTATTTCAGCTAGGAAATATAATTAGACCTTAGAGGATTTTGTTCTTCTCCTATCTTTCCTTTGCAGGAATTGAGGGATATAACTGTATGTCCATCACCTCTCTAAGTATCACGTGTTGTCAAATGCTCAAAATAAGGCAGCAATCATTATTTCCAACCCCTCTTTCATCTTAAATTTCATGGAATTCTCTTCACTTGGAAGGAAACTGCAGTTTACATAGATAAATGACCGCACACATATGTGTATTTTCCCCCAAGCATACAATTTTACTATAGTCTTCAGGTGTCATTATTGCAAAGTCAATTGTCCCTGAGTATTCAAATTTTTCCAGATGTGCAATTTTATTTAATCTGACCTATATTCTTTCCTAGACTGATGGTACACTGAGCAAGTAGATAAAATGTTTGTCTTAAAAATATTGAAAATAGAAACTGCCTTACTTTTACAGATGAGGAAACTTTGTAAAATTGCATATAAGGACCAGAAAAAACATGCAAGTGGCAGCTCCTCTAAACACTAAAAATATACTGAGCATGTAGACACTTCCATTGAAAAAGTTGGAACTATGGTCTTGACTGCAAGTGCAGCATGGGATCATGGCTCATAAAAAGAGAAAATTTTCAAATAAAATATGCAAATGGAGCTCCATAAATTTCAGTATTATAAAGCTGTAGATAGACTCTGAAAGGAACTTTCACATTTGGTTTAGTTCCTAACTCATATGGGAATTATTTTTGACAAACCAAGTTGATATCTGCTAAGCAAGTCTGTTTACATCTTAAAACTGAAAAGAGAATGAAACATAATTGTAAAGTAGTTTTTAATTCCTATTCCTTATTTCCTTTTAAAAAACAATAGCTATTGGTCAACATCTTGCAGTTCCCATGGTTTATGGCTGCACTTTGGAATTTTTCATAGTAAGAGCTAAAGAAAGCAATGATTTTTTAAAATTGTTGACAGAATCTTGAAAAATAAGTGTTTTAAGGGAAGCAATAAAATTCTTAAGATGCAGCTGTACCCACTAAAAATAATCACACATAGAATCATAGAATTAAGGCTGAAAAAAACATTCAGGATCATTGAATCTGACCCTTGATCAAACACCACCATGTCAGCTAAACTGTAACATTAAGTCTCACATCCACTTGTTTCTTCAGCGCCTCCAGGGATGGTGGCTCTACCACATCCCTGGGCAGAGGGAGGTGGTGGAGCCCAAAGTTTAACAGCCCTTTCTGCGGAGAAATTCTTCCTGGTATCCAACCTTAACCTCCTCTGACACAACTTGAGGCTGTGTCCTCTTGTCCTGACTGGTTTCCTGGGAGAAGAGGCTGACTCCCACCTGGCTACAACCTCCTTTCATGTAGTTGTAAAGAGTGAGAAGGTCTCCCCTGAGACTCTTTCTCCAGCCTAAACAGCCTCACCTCCCTCAGCTGCCCCACATAAGACTTACATTTCAGACCCTTCACCAGCTTTGTTGCCTTTTGCTGGATGCCCTCAGACACCTCAATATTTTTATTGAAGTGAGGGGCCCAGAACCTCTTAGGACACTTCTTCATTTGTGATTGTTTGGGTCACAGGTGGACTTTCCTGTGTATATAAACAGGTATGTAAAACTATTCAGGGATGCAGTGCCTCCATCACCGGAGGTTTTCAAAATGTGATTTATAATCTAACCACAGCTTTATTTTCCATGAAATGTTGGACTACATGGTCTGATGATATTCCTTCCTTCCTGGGCTGTTTTATGGTTCTGTGATTCTGTTACTTAGGCCTATCATGTTGCACTACAGTTATTTGTTATTATGAGTGGTCTTATCAATTCTCTATGAGATCCTGTTAATAAAAACACTACCATTCGTAGCATGCATTGAGTATTCCAATGGAAAAAGAGATTTTTTTTTAATTCCTCTTCATGTCTACCTGAGTATATTATAGAAGAAAAGGTGCTATAAGACAAAATGGCTAAATTTGGTCCTGTTGGAAGTCACTAATTTAAAGATGAAAAAATTTTCTATTTAGAGTTCTTTCATAACTCTTGAACCAGAACAAGGAGGCATTATCCTAATTATAAAGATTCCATTTTAAACTTTAAAGGAAGATATCCCCTCTTAATCTGTTCACCTCAATTTTTTTTTTAATATTTGTTTGAAAAAAAATCAATTAAACACAACTGTAGTGCACTACTTGTTGGGCTGGGAAAGAAAAACCCAAACCCTAATGCATTAATATCATTATATATTTATACAGAGATAGAAGAGCCCCAATTAATTACATCTATTTTCTGTTCAATAAGAAAATATTACAAATAGTAGCATGCTTTTCAATCTATTTTTCTGAATACAGAGCTAAAGCAGTTCAGCACAACAGAGATACCACTGAAAATGTAAATAAATGAAAGGATGAAAAATGTATACTTATTTTCTATCCAAAACAAATAAATTAAGAATTAAATGCTGAATTTTGAAATTTATTGACTAATACTAATTTTTAATTTCAGATTATTGTTTAAACTATTTCAGAAATGTACTAAAATGTTTGTTTGAATACAGCCTTTTGTTTTTTCCAAGAAGGAAATTATATAATTTTAATGATGTGTAAGCTGAGAAAACAGGTAAACTCAAGTATATAAATCCATTATTTTATTTTCTATTTTTTTTCCCATTAAAAAATCTACTAAATATTCACATTACACACAAATCAAGTATCTCATACAGTGAGTGTATATTGATACATATATATCCATATGTATATATATCATTACTTTTTTCCCCATATGACATTTATTATAGTGTTTGTATGAATAAATTAAATATGTCTGAGGGATTTTAAGTGAATATTACAGTAAAATGTTTCACTAGCTCCTGTCAGCATCCTTGGCACACCATCACTTCCATGCTGACTAGCCATAATGATGATTGCACCATTGTGATGCTATGCCAGGTACCTGCCAATATATTTGCACTCAGTATGACATTTTAAATCATAAAAATGTTAACATTTACCAGATGCTGAACAATTTAAGTATAAACCTTTGAGCCAGTGAGTTTTTCAGTGCTATATTTCATGTTCACTAATAAGTGTCCACTTATGGACTTGAAGGTGACATAAATATTGATTGTTCTTTGTAAATATGTTGCCTACTAATCATAGTATATTTTTATGGTGCATATATTTCAATAAAAGAATTTATAAAGCCTGTAAAACACTCATTATCATGTTTGTGTACTGGTTTGGAAGGCTAAATAGCATTATGCACAGAGCTTTTAAAATAGCTATCATAATAGTGCAATGGTATTTTAGTTTAACCTATACCAAAATCTCATAGTTCACCCTAATATGAATGAATCCTTCCCAAATGCAATTTAAAAGGTCATAAGAGATTGTGAAAAGGATACAACAAATACATTTCTTCTACAAAACTTTGGAAGTGTAAAAGTAGTTTTCATTTCCATATGCTGTGAACATTGAAGAGTAACTTGCAAGGTAAATTTAGATTTTTCTAATAGCCTTTTCATCACCCATTGAAGTGCAATTAGTCTCGCCTTTTTGTTTAATGTAATTTGTTATTTTTGTTTGTAATGGAAATGAAACTTCTATCATTCTTTCTGTACATTGCTGTACCATCAGCCCTCTGTCTGGTTACTTTTATACACATGAAAGATTGCAAAAAGATTTTGCCTAAAGTTTTCAAGTTTCAGAATACAGCAGCAGCAAGTAGAAGACTGAAGGAGACATCAGTGAAAAAACCTATAAATAACAAGAAACATAGAGCTCAGACATTGCATGGTTTGTTGGACAGTGACCAGACTAGTCAGATCACACACTTTTAAATGCATATGTTACACAGAACAAGGAAAATTAGCATGAGAATATTTCAAGAGTGAGTGCTGTGTTTAGGAAAGCAGTGCAAAATGAGGCTTCATCAGCTCACTGCTATTAAAATAAGTTGTTTGATTTTCCAAAAAATGCTGGGGGGAATATATCACTTTATCCTACCTCTGAGTTTCCAATACATGGTGATAAACATGTGTAATTAAATCCATGAGATTTATCCATACACACTGCTCCTGGGGCACAGCTTATGTTGTTGAATAAGCAGGCATCAATATCGAGTTCACATCTTTCACCTTCAAAACCTGCACCACAAAGAGAATGTTTAATCACAGTTCATTCAGAATATTGACATTATGTCTGTTCAGGGTGTTAGCAGTTAACACCACTCTAGTAGAGTTATTTGGCAGTTTTATTTTGTGAACAAAGAGAAAAAGTGCTTTTCTTCATAAAAATGTTCACTGCATTTGTTGACATACAGTGCTATTTTTATATTGCTACTTCTTAACAGAAATATTTGGATGACTTTTTTTTTTTTTGTTAGAAAAAATTACCAATGACTCACCTATAGGGCAAGTGCATTTAAAATGATCTTCATAGGCAATACATGTTCCTCCATTTTTGCATGAATTGGAACCACAGCTGTCGATTTGCACCTCACAGAATTCTCCTGAAATAGGAAAAAAGTCCTAAAATTATTAGGAATTAATATCACTTTCTTAAGGAAATGCTGTAAGTCATATTAGTAATATTGATAGAATAACTTCCTTTAAATAAGATCTCTGGGATATTGGTTAAAGGTCTTGTGTATGTTTTCAAACTTTTTTTTTTTTGCTCCACTTATACATATAAAAAATCGATTTCAGTGTTTCAAAAAAGGTCAAACCAAAAATACTTTTTCAGCATTTGGAACAATTTAGGATGTATCCAGAAGGTGATACAGAGCTGAAGAGGGGAGATTTTCCCTGGAAATAATTAGCTGAAACTGAGGTAATGCCCTATTATTTACATTTTACTATGCATTTTCTGAGCTCTGTTTTGGCTAGGAAAAATTTATCACATTTATTCGAGGTAACCTTTAGTGTGATTCACTGAACAACTTGCTCATTTAGCTGAAAACTGCTTTTAGCTCAGCAGGAATAATAATTAAACTTGTAACTGGACAGTTCTAAAAAAATGTACTGAAAAGATGTAGATCTCATGGAATGTGATATGAATCAATAAGAAAACCATCAGGTTTACCATTAGTCTTGAAAGACAACTAGATTTGACAAAAACAAAGCACTTTCACTTTTTATTCTTATTCTTTTTGGTACTGAAAACAATTTCATGAATTCTCTATATATATTCTTGATTTTCTTCCTTGTTATTGGTGTGCTTTTTGTTGCTTTCCTTGACTTTTTTTTAATTTACTATTTTTACAGCAAGAATTTGGAGTGGGGAGGGGGCAGAGGGGGAGCGGGGGCAGTTTCCAAATTTAGAAAAAAAAATCTGTACAGCTGAGAAGAGTAAAAGAAGGTTCAGGAGTTTTGAGGTATTTCGAAGAGGAAAACTTCAGAATATACAATAAGTGTAAATTACTGATGCTTTTACCAGCAACTTGTTTGTAATCAGTGTTAGTTTATGGCTTAAGCAGAAAACACTGAAGAGCTGTACAGGAGAAAAATGTTTGGAAGGAATATACAAGAAATGTGGATAATTTCTTAAAGCAGATAATTTATCCTGTAAAATTTCAAGTCAGAAGTTAGTATTTATTTGAAATTCTTCCTATGTCAAAAAAAGGGAATAAAGTTACTTCAAATAATGAAATTGTTTTAAAATTTTTTATATCTATCCTTTTGATCTAAAGCTAGAGCCATCAGGAAAACACAACTTAATAGGATAAAAATTGGTAAGAAATGACTATGTCTCTTCTTCAATATTTTCTGCCAATTTTATTCACTTTTATTATGCTGGAATAGAGTTTCAAGACCTCAAGACTGCTTCTCATGGACTTCTGTAAATTCAAACGGGAATATGTTGTGTTTTGTTGGCCAAAAATCTCTATTTTGGGCCAACAGGTGCTAAACCACAAGTGTAATCTCATGTTTTTACATACAGGTTGACCAGCATGCTTTTAAGGATTTTTAACATTTACTCTATCCTTTCAGTTCTCAGTTAAAAATCATCCACTGATAACATCTATCAATATTTTAATAGCCAAGATTATATTTTATTATAAAGTTTACTGAGTTAAAAATATTTTCAATAATATATAATAATAGAGAACATAGGAAAATAGGAAATTAGATGTTTCTTGCTATTTATTATTATTATAATATTTAATATTACATGGGAAACTATCAGCAACCTGACCTTCCATATACAAGATTCTCATTTGCTCTGTTCATATTGGCTCTAATGGTAACCCAAAGTATCTGCATTTCTTGGGAGATTTCATCATGATGAATACTTTTACAAAGCCACTTTTCCTGTAATAGTGGCCAGCAAAGAGGCATGCTAACACATAAATAGATATTTTCATCCCAAAAGCAGCTGGATGTTCTACTGAAGCTGCAATCTCGTAGGAATTGTGGGGTTTCATTTGTTTCTTTTTTGGTTTTTTTTTGTTTTTTTTTTTTTTTTTAATGAGGTTTGGAAGGCAAAATCAGGAGCAAAAAAAATCTGAGAAAAAAACTTCAACTCAATATGTATTTTGGACCAATTTTTTTCATGTTTATTCATGAGGATGGAATTGTCTTGTCCAAGAAACCCTTATGAATAAATATTAGTGCAACCCAACAGGCTTTAAGAATTATTTTGCTATAAATCTGAAATTCTTATAGTGGCTGTATCCTTTAAGCAAACTTTATGACTTTTCCCTGCCACAATGAGGTCAAGAAAACCTAGTAAATTCAAACTGTTATAGAATTTATTGGAATCTGAATACTGCTGAGAAATGCATAATTTATGGTATTAAAGTCTGATTAAGTGATAAATGGATATCAGGAGAGATCTCCACAGTAATCCACTTAGCTTTTAATGCCTAATTATCACTTCATAGTGAGTAAGGGCTGAGTAATTGAGAAATGCAGTACTTAGAGAACTCAAACAAGATTTTTGTGCACAATTAAGCATGTTATTCTTCTATCAGAAATAGGTTCAGCAGGCCCAAGGAACAAAGGGGAAAATAAAGAACTTTTACAACATTAGGAGGAGGGAAAAAATTCAATTCAAGACTACTTATTAACTACTGTTGCATTGTTTATTTTGTAAATGACCTTATACATTATTCATCTAAGGATGTGTTCTTAAAAGTTAAATTCTTTAATTATTTTCCTTAATTTTCTTTTACCACCAATATATTTAGAGGACACTTTCTTGTCCTCCTTGATTCTTGCTCTTTTAATTTCCATCTTATCTTTAGATTTTCTAACTCCATCCATACACACACATGTAATTTGTCTATGTTTCTTTTTTGCAGTTTCCAACTTCCACTGTCTGTGTACGGTGGAATGAGACATTTAATTGCATTAACACACTAAACCTAAAAGAATATACCTTTCTTCTCATTTGTGTATTTGTTAGCTTAGAATCCGTGATTAGCTAAAACAACTGCATAGCTCTGGGGGTCATAAAAGCCAGCTACAAAACAGATAAATTAGTGTACTTATGTCTATACCTGACAATAAACTTACTAGTGAACTTAAATAAATAACCACAAATAACCTTATCCAGGTAAAATTCACCAAACAATTCTAAAGAGACTGAAATGTGACATTGCTGAAATGAAGAAACATCAGTAGAACAAGGAATCTTTTAAATAGAGTTTGGTAGCAGAAGAAGGAAAGATGGCAAATTCAATACAAATTCTAAAAGTAATTTGAGGGTATTTTCCCCAATAGCCCTGCAGAACAACACTGCCTTTTCTAGCAATAGACCATAAGTTTTGCATTAAATTTGCAAGAACTGAGGGTCATCAGACTTTCTTGCAATGATGATTTACTTGGCCTAATTGTGACAGTAGTTTTTTTCTTCTGATTTGCTTTAGTTTTTTTTATCTTTACATGGAACAACCATAGATTTAAATAAATAAGAGCAAGTAGACATTATAACTATGATTGCATTTACTAGCCTGATGCAGTGCTGTATACAAATAGAGGGCTGGTATCACAACAAGAGACCTTGAGAATAGAGACAGGATGTGATGTGAGGAGCACTGCATTGATCAGAGATGGTGGACCCCACAACAACAGGCAACTCACCAGTGCCCAGTTAAAGAATGAAGACCTCTAGCTGGACAAAACTGGTCTGAAGGCTAACAAAAAGCACAAAGAAATTTAATTTAATATACTTTAGACCCACCATAAAATGTAAATTAAGATCTAAAATAGAACTGCAGTCCAATGAAAATAAAAGGTGTAAGTGGACAGATAGAAATGACCCCAAGTGGATACTGGAGATGGAGAAACCATCTGTATGATTGTCCATTCCTTCCAGTGAAAGAATATAGATTCTGCAACACTGCTTCCAACAGCAGCACTATGAAATCATTGACCTTAAGATCTGGAGGAGTAGGGAAAAGGGTGAGAATTATAACATAAAAAGGGAGATAAACTATGAATTATGTTGCAACTGTATACCACTCATTTTCTGCAGCAATTAGATTTGCCCTGAAAATTATTTAAATTTTAATATTTCAGTTATATCACAAATACATTTCTGGCTTTACGTGCATATATGGTGCGCTTCTACCCTGCACATAAAAAAAGATTTTCAACATAAGAAAATCATTTAGAGGCTTATATACCATTAAGTCTGACTTTATCACATATGTCCCTGGGGGTTCTTAAATATAATATAACTCACAGTTCCATTCTGTATAGTACAGTGTAGTAAAGACAGAACTTCTAGTGTGTTTCATTTGTAATTCACCCAAAAATTTTAACCTATAAAACAGAATTTTCAGTCCCTCAGACTTTGGTTGCACTTATGTTTGCTAGAGATATTTTTAGTTTTATGTGATCTTCTTCAGTCTATTTTTGTATTCTGCTCTAGTCTATTTTTGTACTTCCACTCTCAATTTAATATTCTTCCTATTTTTTTTCAGGAACTATGTTAATAACCAGTGTGCTTATAAAGAGCGTATAGAGATGATCTACAGTAAGCATTCTTAATTTGCTATGTTGCATGGTAGCAAGTTTATCAAACAAAAAGAGTACATAATGTAACACAATGCACAAGCACTGGATTGTATCATAATTATTTTTAATGTCTTTTCTCCAAAGTAATTTTATGAAGCTAAAACTCAAGATTTTATTCTATGTTTTTTTGTTCCCTGATTTAGAAGGCAGTTTTAACACCCAATTAGATTTATTGCCTATGTATATACATGTGCACAGGCTGAAATAATCATAGAACCATTGCTTTTCAACCATTCAAACCAAGAAGCTAGTAGGAACTTCAAAAAACATGCTCTTTGGCACAGCATGGACAGTTAAGGTTCACTCTCTAAAATATTGGCTTTTACATCCATGCTACTGCATTATAGGTCATAAAAAATTCAACTTCTGTTGTATGATTTGTCTCATCCTGAACTCAGTCCAAAAGGTGTCATATGAGTAGAGGCCTCTAAAATTCTAAGCTCTTTCTATGTATCCTAAAGAGATCAAAGAGCGACAAGCCTGGTAC